TGCTGCCTTCCCAGGCACATTAGCAGGAGGCTAGATTGGAAATAGAGCAGCTGGGACTCAACCGGCACTCTAATATGTGATGCTTGTGTTGCAAGTGCTGTCACAAAACTAGTCCCCAGCAATCATGTTCTTACAGATATGAAATTAAGAAGACTATAAGGGACAAATTCTTGCTGAGGTAAGTAAGACAGATGGCTAGGATAAAAGATGTAGTGTTCTTGAATGATTTTTTCACTAACTATGAATGCGAGGAAAAATCAAGCTAAGTAGATCAATTTTTCTTAAAGAAAATTGCACTCTAACATTATAGTTAACATATTAAAGGTTATATAAATGTTTTAAAATGTTACATTATGAAACATGTAGAGCTATTAAACCTGAAACAAAGGAAACACAAATTTTCTGAAGGGTTATTTTAAATCTTGTAATAGAACCACTCAATAAGTCAAAAGGGATTTTTAATGTGTAAATTTAAGTAGAAAATAATATTATGTATTAGCCTTGTAATATGAGTCCAGATCTAGTTGATTTAATAGTAAACAACTGGTTAGGAAAAAATTAATAAGAAAATTAAATCATGTTATTTTTGCACACTATTAAGGGTTATTGATGTACGATTAAGGATTGATGTAGGCTGGTTTTTTCTTTCTTTAAATATTGATTGATTGATTTGAAAGTGCTAGGGAGAGAGAAAGGGAGAGGAAGCGAGATAGAGAGAGAGAGAGAGATATCTTCTATGTGCTGGTTCACTTCCCAAACAGCTACAAACCTGGACTGGGTCAGGCCAAAGCCAGGAGTCCAGAATCCACTCAGGTCTCCCACACAAGCAGCAGGAGCTCATGTACTTGAGGTGCCTTAGCAGGAAGCTGGATTGGAAGTGGAGCAGTTGGCATTCCAACCAGCATTCTGATATGGGATGCTTATGTTGCAAGTGGCCCCTTAGCTTACTGTGCGACAATGCTGGCTCTGATGCAGGTTGTTTAAAGAGGGGAAGTGTATATCTGACTTGAATTGCCTGGGATTGTATTCTGGCTTCCGACTTACTGGCTATGCCATTAAGCATTGTATCTTAGTTTCCTATCCTTCCTAAAGTAGAAAGATAACAAGAACACAAAACTCAGAGTTCATGAGGATGAAGAGTTAAAATGTATAAAATACTTATAACAATGTCTGGTACCCCAATTCTTCCCTTTTAGTTTCTAGAATTCTTTACCTTCACCAAAGGATTATATATAAAAAGATGAAACTAAGGCTAATCTATTTTGCTTCTTGTCAATCAGCCATGGCTAAAGATTTGATGATTTTCAACTTAAACAAATGAGACTTGAGGATTGCTCTAAGTATTCACTTAACCTGCCTCATATTGTGTTCAAAATCTCACTGTCCACCATTTTCATGAATAAATTAGAATGGGTTGCATAACAGTTTTGGAAAAAAATTATTTAAAAAAACCATCAGATGGTTAGAGATATTTTGAATAAATGCAAGAGGGAAAAATTCAAAAGCTACTATACTTATATCAAAAATAAGAAATTCATATTAGAGAAAAGTCAAATGATAAAAAAAGACTTATTAAGGGATTTTAAACTTAATTGCCACCCTCAAATGAAAACTAAATTAAATAGAAAAAAATACACACAAAAAATAAGCAGTTATGACAAAGCATTCAATAAAAGGAAAGAAATCAAGGGAAGATTAGTTGCATATTTCAAAAGGTGCAATTTTTAAAGGACACTGTAAACTTAAACTTTCAATATTCACTTGATGTGTAATAAAAGATGTAACCTTTATGTAACTTAACTACAGTAAAAAGAAGTAGTAAATGGTCCAAGAAAGAGGACCCATCACCAATGCACTGATGACATTCAGTAAGTGAGAAATCAACTGAACTATATAATGACCATGAAAAGCATCACAAATGGGGTCCCACTGTTTAAAGAGTGGAAGGAAAGTAGTCACCTGGACAAGTTTTGGTGGGTCTCTGACTTTTATCTTCTATACACTACTTGGAAACATAATTATGATATGATATTGATTTAAGTACACTCAAAGAAAGGACTGCATAGTAGAACAAATTTGCATGGCAGATATTTTGTTATGCTAATGCAATGTCTTTTGTGAGATAATAGAGTAGATAAAGAGCAATGTACAGACAACATTTATCTGCATTTTAACAATGCTATCAGTCCTGTGCTGCATATCAGCATGCTGAGAAATTAAGAGATGAATGGTATAAATGATATGATAGAGTGAATTACCAGAGACTTATAGACTGGAAATAAAGGATTATTATTTTTTCTGAGACACAGGTACCTACACATACACATTTCGATGTATCTCAAGTTGCAATTTGTAGCTAGGCTAATTATTTGAAATAAATAAATGTAGCTTACAAATTAATTATTTTCAAGAAAAAGCTAATTGGATAGCATTAAAGTATCTACACAACCCACAAGAAAAAATTTTGGAAGCAAACAACAAAGAATATAGGGAGCAATTCATGTCAGCCTATAAAAAGTAAACAAAAGAAAACTATTGAAGGAAAAAAAACATCTTTTATCTTTTGAAATTAGTCTTGTATAGATTATTTTCCCAACAGAATTTTTCTTCTGCATTTGTAGCAATAATTTTTTGATGCACAGAAAATTTTGCAAACTCAGGTGAAGATAAATCCATATTAGCAAATATCAATAGACTTTTGATATCCACTGATTTCATTTTACATGCTTGTAATGCATTAGAGCAATAGCTGGGTAAGATCCTATTTTAGAAAAATGACATAAAGACTTTGGGTTACATGTTCAATGAGATTATTTGCTTCCACTGCAAACTGAAGGTAAGCTACTTATGAATGGATTTAGAAGAATGACAGGAAATCTGTCATTCATTCATTCTTGCAATAAATTATGAAACTGAGTTTCTAGTTTCAAGGCATCAAAGATACCAGGACCTTTACATTCCTGCATTTTATAATCTAGTTAGGTAAAAATAATAAATAGATAACAGATAATGTAAAATAAACAATATAGATATGAATCAATAATAAATAGGATAATCGATAAAAATTCTAATTTAAAAAGCTATGATTGTATCCTTAGGAATTGAAATGGAAAAGGTACTGTACATTACATACTAAGTACTATGTAAGTTTGATTCAATTAAACATATTTTTAAGGGATTACAATATAATGTTCAAGTATCTACAGTTACTAAAGAAACTGTTAACAGAGTATTATTTTCAAAATACTCAGAACTAATTTAATGAAAAGAGAGACTATTAGAAATATCAATTGTCAACATGTAAATAATGACTTCTGAAGGACTAAAAAAATTTTCTTACATGAGGGTAAGCTCCTATCATATTTTTTCCTAATCATAAATTACCTAGTAATTTCAAACTCTGTGGTTACTATCATTGCCATTTTATCAACGAATTATGGCTTTAATTAATGGGATTAGGCTAATAACTACTGCAACATATTTTTACTGCTGGTTGGTAATAAGTTCTATACTTCTGATTCACAGTTTCAAAAGGCTTTATAAGGGCCATTATATTATAGTTACATTGATCAGAATGCCACATAACATAGCAGTACTTAAATATTATAATTTGCTTAGACAGCTTTACTTCCATTATTATAACTATGCTGGCGAATATACCATAAACATAACTGAAGGTAGATACACTGCTTTCACTAATAAAGCCAAGACGTATAATTAAGAGTCAAAAGAAAAGAATTCTGCTCAGGATTCTTGATACTGGAATTCATTTGTTTTCTCAATATACCATAAAACTAGTTGATCTCAGACAAGATTATAAAGTCAGGGTTTCTGAGAGTCAAAATAGGCAAGAACATTATATATTTATATGTATAAATGCATTCCACATTTAATTTGAATCTACTTGTAGGCTTTTACCAACCTAAATTTGTAGAAGTTTTTTTTTTTTTTTTTTTTTTTTTTTTTTTTTTTTGTGGTGGGGTGGGGATGGGATTGGCTTTGGGGACTAGGATCTGATGGGATGCTGCTTAAGACATGAATACCAAATACTATAAATTTTACCTTCCAGTTGGAGGAGGGAGTACAATTTTTTATCTGATTGTCATGGTAAAAGATATGGATGTATGAAGGAAAAAAGGCAAAATTTTCAGTTACAAAAATAATTTGTTAGGGAAGATAAAATGTGTTATATTCCTTTGTATATTTTCTGGAATGGCTTAAGAACTATTAAAAGAAGAAATATTTAATCCATAAAAAATAAGATGCAAATTTCTTCATTTAATTACCATTTCTAACATTTCAGATTTTATTGTTCCTCTTACCAGCTTTTAAAAAAAGCTTTGTTGGCAAGAGGAATTCCTTTACTGATGCTGACGTATTTTAAAGTGTATTGATAAGTTCAACCTCTTTTTAATTTTTTAAAAAGGATTTATTTATTTGAAGGGCAGAGTTACAGAGAGAGAGAAAGAGAGGGAGAAACCATCTTCCATCTGTGGGTTCACTCTACAATGACTGGGGCTGGGCCAGGCCAAAGCCAGGAGCCAGTAGCTTCATCCAGGTCTCCCATGGGAGTGCTGGGGCCCAAGCACTTGGGCTGTTTCTCTGCAGCTTTTCCAGGCAAAATGGAGCTGGATTGGAAGTGCAACAGCTGGCACTTAAACCAGTGCCCACATGGAATGTCAGCATTGTAGGTGATGGCTTTACCTGCTATGCCCTAATGCTGGCTCCAGTACAATCTCTTTCTGTGACTGATTTTAATAATTTATTAAAGTCAGAAGGACTTTAATCTCTATTATAAAATCTTATAGTCTCCTAACTGATATTATACTAGCAACCAAATACAATGAATATAGCATGACATTGCATCATAATTTAGGTCCATGAAGTTACAAGAGGTCTCCTCCAAGACATTTGGTTATTTTAAATTTTCTATCCAAGGAATCGAAAGAATAGTGACAAATAGCAGCTCCCCAGAAAAACAAATGAACTTATGCATTTACCTTCCTCCTTTCTTCTCTTTGCTTCTTCCTCATTTCTTTCTTTGGCTTTCAGTGCTTCATCAGCTTTTGCTGAAACAAAAACAATAAAATTTCTGCACTTATTTTATGCTCATAATATAAGTGAAAGTACAGGAGAGGGAGGATAATCGTTACTTATTCTCTCTGAAACTGAAGAAACAAACAAGGCAGTTGAAAATTTGAAATATGTATTTTACATTCTTTATTCAGAATAAATATCCCGAATATTTATTTAGAATCTTCCAAGCTTAGTTCAGGATAGTCTTTGTAGGAAAGAGAAAATGAATTTAGGCAGCATAAATGTCAATGACAGTATATGAATTGGGAAGAACTGTTGGTTAATAAAAACCATTGAATTTATCAGTATAACACATCTATTTTAAACTTTAGAGGAAAGTCTTTAAACCACAACTCACATTTTAAATGGAAGAAGCTTGCAATATCCATGGAACAGTATCAAATTAGGTAGCATTTTCTTTTTTCCCCCATTGCACATCATAGTACTGGTTCCTTATTCATGTTACGACAGCATTTGGTAAAAAGAATCTTTTTCCCTCTAGAAACCTCTTCCCTTATTACTTAATTATCTACTAGTTGCTCAACTGCAGGGGTTTTCAAACACTTTACTACAGATGTTAAAGAAGATTAAAAAATATACAGCACAGTAACAAGGGACTATCAATATACTCTGTAAATTAATTAAATTTCTGTTCTAGCACATCATTTATTCCAAAGCATTAATGTCTCAAAGGAGCGATTCTCCTTTATTGCCGTCTCACTGCCTGATGAGTGAACTAAGTGGAAATAAGTCTCTAATAGCATTATAGCTGATGAAATATTAAGTTAAAAAAGTATTGCCTCGTTAAAAGAAAAAGAATCAGACTGTGGCAGCATTAAACTTTGTGGAAGCCTTTATTATAATGATAACAGTAATGTAAACTGTGATTTAAAAAATAAACACACTTACTTTTCAACGTTTTGCTGCATATATTTTCCCTATGCAAAAATCAACACAGCCTTTAGAAGTATAAAGCCTGGCTTAAAAGGAGAATTTAAATAAAACACATGCCACATACAAAACTATTTTTCTTCTAAGTTTGATTTTTTTTCTCTCACCACCAATATTGACACGTTCTTAAGGTACAAAACTTATATAATGGTGTTATGAAGTGCTATATCCAATTACACAGACATGTGTTTCCATTTACAAGCTTTTATAAATACTTAGACTGCATTTAAAGTCATGAAATATTAAAACATTTATGCCACTCTGTATCACTGCAAGAATCTATTAAATTAGATAATAAAAACAAACCACCAGTAACTCTAAAGACTTTTACTTCATTTACACTTTATTCTCCCTGGTAGAAGGACAAGGATAATAGAAATTCCATTTAAATTCAATTTTGGTTATATGTGTAATTGTAGATATACCCCTTGAGTCATGTAAAATGCTCAGCTTATGTTTCTTTCAAATTATCCCGCTCAGATTCACATTTTACTCCTTACAACCATCTTCAATATGTATTAGGAGAGCTCATTAGACTGAAATTTAATAATGCAAACATCAGGTGGATTTCAAGAACTTCCATTAACAACGTAAGATGGATTACTTATATATAGCTCTTGGGCCAACTGGGCACAATTTAAATTCAATAAACTACCCTGCCTAAATCTGATTTATCTATTTCACTATGCTGGTTTGTCCTTTCTTACTGATTTGTTGCTATACATGGACAATTTATTGGAATATTGTTTTATATGTTTTTAAAAAACTGCAAATGGTTCTGATGCTGTGGTTAAATATTTTATCTAACTGAGCTTAATGCTGTCAATCAAGATTCCCAAGTAAATGTCTATATGAGTATATGCGCTCATGCACCTGTGTATAAAATAAAATATTTTGAATTATGTTGAAATGGCATATGGGGGGGACGCGCTGTGGCTCACTTGGTTAATCCTCCTCCTGCGGCACCAGCATCCCATATGGGCGCCGGGTTCTAATCCCGGTTGCTCCTCTTCCAGTCCAGCTCTCTGCTGTGGCCCGGGAAGGCAGTGGAGGATGGTCCAAGTGCTTGGGCCCCTGCACCCCCATGGGAGACCAGGAGGAAGCACCTGGCTCCTGGCTTTGGATCGGTGCAGCGTGCCAGCCATAGCAGCCATTTGGGGGGTGAACCAATGGAAGGAAGACCTTTCTCCCTGTCTCACTCTCTCTCACTATCTAACTCTGCCTGTCAAAAAAGATATAAAAAAGGCATATGGGGCTGGTGCTGTGGCATAGCTGGTAAAGCCGCTGCCTGCAGTGCCAGTATCCCACATGGTCACCAGTTCGAGTCCTGGCTGCTTCACTTCCAATACAGCTCCCTGCTAAGGTGCCTGGGATAGCAGTGGAAGGTGGCCCAAGTACTTGGGCCCCTGCACCCACATGGAAGACTGGTAAGAAGCCCCAGGCTCCTGGCTTTGGATAGGCCCAGCTCCGGCCTTGCGGCCATTTGGGGAGTGGACCAGTGGACTGAAGACCTCTCTCTCTCTCTCTCTCTCTCTGCCTCTCTGTAACTCTGCCTTTCAAATAAAAAAATATATATCCAAAAAAATGCACAGAAAATAATCTTAAAAGCACACATTAAAGCCTTTTAGTAAAGATTTAATTTAGTTAGTAGAACGGCACAGTTACAGAAAGAGTATGTGTAAGAGATGAGAGTGAGAGTGAGAGAGAGAGAATCTTCCATTTGCTGATCTGCTGGTTCACTCCACAAATGGCTAGCTGGGCCAGGCTAAAGCAAGGAGCCAGAAGTTTCTTCTGGGTTTCCACATCAGGGCGGTCAGGGGGCACAATGTAGGATGCACTGTGGCCATCTTTTCTGCTGCTTTTCCAGGAACTGGATCAGAAGTGGAGCAGATGGGACATGAACCAGTGCCTGTATGGGAGCCAGTGTTGCAGGAGGCAGCTTAATCAACTGTGCCACAGCACTGGCTGCTAAAATTTTTATCAATAATCAATGTGTCTCCAAAACAATCTGAGTGAATCCAATTGAAAAGAAAATTTATTTGAATTCAAATGATAGGCAAGTAATTAATTTTATTTGAAAAGCAGAGAGACAGGGGCAGGGTGGGAGGAAACAAGACAAGGAGAGATCTCCCATCTATTCGATGACTTACCAAATGCCTGCAACAGCTAGGGGTTGGCCAAGCTGAAGCCAGGAGCAGAGACTCAATCCAGGTCTCCTTTGGGGGTGGCAGGGACTCAACTACTCCAGCCATCACCTGCTGTCTTTCTGTGTTTGCATTAGTAGAAAGCTGCAATTGGGAGTGGAGCAGGGACTCAAACTCCATAGTCTGCTAC